ATTGAGTCTCGAAGGGTTTATTAAAGTTACAAGTCGAATTCGGAGAATACTTCACAAGGGAAAATTCAGATAAGTAGTTATATTATATTATTTATTTGTAATTAAGAGTGGATGAGAACTTAAGTGTCGTCCTTTATTTAATTCAAAGTGCTTATATACATTTTAGAGGTTTAGAACGTTTACGCTATAATCTAAAGAGTTACGCTGAGAGCGTATGCAAAGAAATCTTAACGTATTCTATTAAAATTCACGTAAACGTGGTATGCCAGCATTAGTGTAATCGCGTTTACGAAGATTTCAATGTTTACGTGATGCATTTGATTTTCATGCACCTAAACCTTCAAGCCACTATTAGTTACGATTTTAGGATTCTAATTACTAATTACTACGTACGTACGTACGAAATCGGTTACTGTTACCAAAATAAATGGTGTAACTAAATTATATGCGAAGGGGAAAGATACCGACTAAAATGTAAGTTTTGAGCAAAATTAAGAAATTAAAATTTTAATTCGTTACAATATATTTATTAATGTCTACCGAACTGGAATTCATTAGAAAAATGATGATAATCTTTTGTTCATGAATTTAATGCAAGAATTATTTCCTGTTCAAGATAACAACCGCATAACGAGAAAGATCACAAAACGAAAGACCGTACGATGCACTAATGGGAATTTTACCGGTCTCATCCGAATTTGTTGCCGATAATTGGAATTGGTATGCGTATCAGTATTTATATTCAAAGTGAAGATTATACTGGAGTGGAGCATTCAAAAAGTCAGAAAGTCAGGGGTATACAATTGCAGAGATTGTGAACTGTGAGGGACAGATGAAAGTGGCATTCGGGAATTTTTCTCCGAGCATTACTTGATATAGCCTTGATTCTCTTGGGTCAATCAGAAAATAGTATACTTATTACGTATTGATTTTATTACAATTCATCTGATTTACCTAACACATCGTAATTGTTTGTAACTAGAATTTGGAATGAATTATAGAATTCATTTGAAATTTTTTGCTTGGTATTAACGGAACTGATAGCTAAACGTTATTTAAGTATTTATACATATATTTTAAATGTTATTTACAGTAAGTATTTATACATATATATATTCTTATGAGCATGCCAAGTAGAAATGAAATTCTATAAACACGCACGTATTGACATAAATGATATGCAATATTTATTTTTATTGTAAATGAGAATAAATCATAAATTTTATGTTATAAATACAATAAAATCAGAAGCAAATTCGGTTTTTCTTAATCTTTATCTTACAAATTGTGATTAAAAATCATAATAGAAAATAACGTCAAAATTTTCTTCCTTTTGACTTATTTATTTCGTCTTGTATCAGCAAAACTTTAATATGTTTTACTATGGAATACATGAATACATCCTTTATTTTATGGTCGCTGTAGTTCCTCTAATATTTCTAACACCAATACATAAACTATTTAGCGTAGAAACTCTTTCTAAAATAATATTCTTCATTACTCTAATAATATTCCTGGGCATAATTTTTCCATATGCATTCTCTCATGCGACAGAAAGTTACGACACAACAGCTGTAATTGTAGCAAGTGCTATTGGAATAGTAATAGATGTAGTGACAGTAGGACTAATTCCAAAGAAGGAATTTTCGAACATTGTAATGACATTTCTCTTTTTAATAGGTTTAGTTTACACCTTTGTTTTTATATACCTAATTGGTATCTTTGCCAAGTCTATTTTCGATGTTAAAATTCATGTTTCATATTTAAGTGTTACTTTAGGAATAATAACAGGTGTAATAATGGTAGCAAGAGTATTCATATTTTCAAGTTATCATCGAAATAAGGCAAAAGTCATCTTAGCTATAATGTTAATTTTAGGTGGAATAGATTATTACATATTGGATACTTTTTTTTAAAAGAAGTCAAAATTTTCTATTATTATCTATATGTATATAGCAATATTATCGAAATTGTATTAATGAAGTTTTATTCTGAAGACTATAAATTTCAGTATAAAAGTGTATTATTAAAGCAATTTAATAAAATGCTATCAATATTAATATCGAAATTAATAATATATTCCGAAGATTGTAATAGACGATTGAATGATATGCAAATTTATTTAAATCCCTAAATGCAGTCTCAAAAATGGAAATCGATTCTAGATCGTTCCATTGAAATTTGATTGGCTGCTTTTTGCTAAATTCGGTTACACTTTGTGGCATTTCGCAATAGCTAACCATGACAACAAATTTTATAAATATAAAGTTGAATGTTCAAAATTTCATGATCAACATTGACCCATCGGGTCAATCCTTTATTTTAATGTGTATAAAGACTTATAAGTTTTACTATTCTTTTCTATTCAAATTTACTCAGCTTCCGATTCGTGTAACCGAAACAAAAAGAACCACTTGATCTGCAGTTCTATGCCATAAAAAGGGCGATCTACATTGCCCATTTTTGGTAATGTGCCCGACTGAAATGGTATAACTAGGGATGGGGGTTATTATACCGTGGTATAATATATGTAGTATAATAACCGTATAATTGGTATAGTATAATTAATAAAATACCGTATAATTGGTATAATATTTTAGTGTAACAAAGTTAACCAATAGAAATCTAGATGAAATTTTTCATAGGAATGAGTGAGCACGTGACAAATCTATGTGAACTTTCTAGGCATTATATATAAGGCTATTATACGGTAATTATACGGTAAAATAACCTGGTATTTATACCACAATTTATTATACCGTATAATTGCCATCCCTAGGTATAACATAAAGTAGTGGTAGTTCTTTTCTAACCAAAATTGTGCTGTGTTTTGATTCTCATTTCCATTATTGCGTATTCATGACATTATTGCATGAGATGATTGTCGGTGTGCATGGAGCCTGGATTCGTTAAATACAGAATTGATTAAGAAAATCCGTCGGATATCCGTTATATAATATGAAAACGGATAACGGATCCAAGCTATATGTGCACGAATATGATACGTCATACATAATCTGAATAGATTTTCTACGAATTCATTCATAAAAAGACCTGGTTAATGAACATTTCTTTTTCACATGACTGGCATTCATTCAATCCACACATATATAAACTATATAATTTTTATTAATAATACAGTATATATCTGATAATAACTTTTATCGTTATATAATTTTAAAAGGATTTTACTAAAACGCACCTATGGTGTTTTACACCTATGTATACATAATCTCAAAAACTGGCTAATTAATTGTTGTGAGGTGTTCTAAGTAAAAATGTTCTACGCCCCCAAAAACCCTTCCCAAACCCTAATCCTAACCTTAATATTAACTTTAATGTGAAAAAAATTTGTGCTAAAAATTTTATATACAAACTTAGAAATTTTAAAACATAATAAAAACATATAATAGGTGCAAAAGCACCATAGGTGCGTTTTATAATAATTGTTTTAAAATTTGTAATAACCAAATATTTGAAATATTAAAATTTCTTTAACCAGTTAATTAAATGTATATAGTGTAAAAACATTATTATTTTTTACCAATTAAATTTAATAATAACGTGTAATTATTAATTACAACTAACTCGGAACTAGAGATTGTACCCGGGTAGACATTTTTATTTTATGGTATAATAAATTACCCGATAACCGGGTAATTTAATAATACCCGAATAGAAGTTTTCTTGACGGGTACAATCTCTACTCGGAACATTACCCTAGTTATGAATCAGTCTAAAAAAGGTTTTAGACATCAAAAATTGCTGTAGTATAAAAACCCTTCTAATCATTATCTTATTACAATTGATAGATTTTAAAAGTTTTATCTTGTCTTGCACAATTTTGTACTTACTAAACGATAACGATAAATTTTATTATTAACATTAATAGGGAGAATTTCGTCTGGTTAGCCAATAATTCTATTTAATTTTACATTATTTATAAGTTTAAAATACTTTTTAAGCAAACCGGTGATGAGGATTCTTGCTAAAAAAGATCTTAAATCTTCATCCGTCTAAAAAAGTTGGTAATATCTTTTCAAAAACAGATGAATTAAGCAAACTTTTTCAAACGGATAAGGGTTAAGGCCCTTTTTAAGTTATGGAGTTCTATAGCTCCTTTTAATTATTATGTTTAAAAATACTTTAAATTACATAAATAACGTAAAATTGTCAAGCGAACATCTCCCTGATATTGATATACTGATCCACGTAAAGAGCAAAGCCAATTTATTATTTTCTATACAAAGTTTAACTGTAACAAAAATTATGAAAAATAAGATGAACTTTATTAATGATGTTAAAATGCTTATTAGATTTAGTCTTTGAGTCGAAGATGCTTGAAGGATTGAAGTCTCGATAGTTACATTATGGTAATTGCTCGCTGTGCATGGACTTCAGATTGATTTTTTATTTTGGTTATGCACCTTCTGAACATCTCAAATAGTGTGTTTGGCCTAATATTATTTAAGTTATATTATTTAAGATTCAAATCGAAGCATCCAGATTTTTATAGCATTGCGATTAAGTTCTGAATGACATTTCATATAACTAGAAATCTACCTAGTGATCCCAACTGATTAAAGTCGATTAAAGTCTTATGGTCAACCAAGTCGAAAAAACTAAAATATGCACATATGCAGGTGATGAAAACCAATAATCCTTAGAATCGTATTAATATCTCAGAGATTTGAATTTAAGCTGTATCTGAATGAGAGATCAGGTGCCGCAATTGTTTATGTCGCACGTTGGTACTTCTACGTACAGAATATTTTGATATAAATAATATATCCAAATATACCATTTGTGCTTGTTATGCCTGGTATTGATTTTACGCATCGTATCACCATACCTTTTCTGTTTATAGAGGCATATATAAATTTAATGTTATATAGTAACAAATAAACTAACGTTAAATCAAATTTATAAAGTTGGATCTTAAAACTGCCACAAAGAACAAAATTTGAAATAATGTTAGAAAAACCTTTATTTAAATATCTTTTTGTCTTGACTTATCTATTCCCTACTGTATCACGTCCGTTTTCTGATACGTCTAATTTTGAAATAAAGCATTTTATACTTTATGCAATTGTTGCTATAATTTTTTTGATCCTTATTATTCCAATATATAAATTTAAATTATTCAGAATAATAATCTTTGTTGCCTTGTTAATATCCTTGACAAACAATTTTCCGATTATATCTTATTACATGAAGGAAAGTTTTGACGCTGCAATAATCATTTTAACAAGTTTAGTGACCAAAGAATAATATTATAATTAATTTGCCAATGTAAATGTGCTTTCTCGGGGATTAGAGCAAATATTTTATACATGTCCTTTATCTATTTTAATTTTAGTTTTTTTTCAATGTTTTATTTCTGGTTATAATTTTAGCACAGTAGTGGGTTATCTTATCTTGGCAATCTTTAAATAAGAACTAAAGCAAAATATATAATTATAGTATTTTATAATTTTTAATTTTTGGTTGACGATGCTCTTTTTTGGCGGGATTATTGGTTTGTATTAATCAAAGTATTCATTTTATTAAAAATATTATAAATGAAGTTTTAACGAGAACGAACAAATAATTATTGTTTTTATTTTTTAATAATAGAAATATA